CAAAACAGGCCCTGAGCCACTGCCTGAATCTCATAGCAGACTTCCAGCAATATGGCAAATGTTTTGCTTAATGCAATAATAGTTAAGTGGAGAACTGGGAGTGGGATGAGGCTTGGTGGTTTGGAGGAGGCAGGCTATATAGGAGACATACAGTGTCACAGAAGTATGACAATCTGCATGGCACTTATCTAGAAAAGGCTCTCCTTCATTAAAGAATCCAAGCAGCCATAAGGTAAAAGGGAATTTCCCTGCATACAAAAAAATAGTTAAAAAACGCAAAACCAAGTATAAGGAAATAAATGGCCTGTTACAAGAGGAATGACAAATCAAATTATATTTGCACTTTGTTCAGTAAGATGTGACTTTACCAATAACACTAAGTTATTCAAGGTAGTAAAAGGACCTGACTGAAGAAGGATTATGAGTAGTGACCTGACAATAAGCCAGCAGATTTTATTCAGCAAATCTCAAAATAATGAAAAACAGGTAGTTCTTCAAACACTCTATAGTTGTAAAGGTTTTTGCAGATGCTGGAAATGAAGATGGGCTCACGAGGAAACAACAATTTCATGGCAGGAAATGCCACTCATAACCTTCATATATGCAGGAACTAGTCATGAGTCAGGAATTTAGAGTCTGGGATAGCAAACGGGGTAGGGAAAGAGAAGTATCTATTCGCTCTGTTCTTCTAGTCTTCCTGAAGCATCATTTGTGGATTCCAGTCATCAAGCTATGTGGACCCACAGCAGCTACTTCTGTTCTCAGGCAGTATGAATTACTGAAGTACCAGTATTCACTTCCACAATGTTAAGAGCTAGAGGTACGAGCTTGCTGCATGATTTAACATTGTAAGTAAGATGCTGTCTTCCACCACATTATCAAATCAACTATAGGCTGAACTGAAAAATTCAGATAAAAGTTTTTTGGTTATTATCAGTGCAGGCACAGATATTGACAGTGGAAGATGTACCTCAAATTTACATTGTTTATTTAAAGTATACTTTTAACATTGATAAGGGGATGCATGATACACTAAACCAGCATTTCTAAACTGCAATTACACTCTTGATACTTTGATCACACTTTCGAAGCATGCACAGATAACAAAGCTCTAACATAAGCCAGTATGGGCTCTAGTACTGGCATGGATTCAGCTCCAGGATGGGTAGGAATTAATAAATTCAGCTTTCTTGCAGACTATAAGCAATATAGGCAGATCATATTTCTTGCTTTAAAAAAACACCCACTCACTACACACTGGAAAGCCACCAGATTTCTACAAACAGTAGAAATCCCATTTCCTCACACACTTGGCAAACCAAAGACAAAGCAGGTGAGCCCTGACATAACTTTGATGCAGTTCAACAAGTAACATGGTTTAAAACATCATTTCAGTTTGGTGCTCAGATACTTTGATAGCTCTAAGAGAATTATGGAGTGTGACCACAAAGCTGATCGTGCAACTTTCTTTGTTACAGATCAGAGTTCTGTCCATGAAAAACCAACCACACCATCCCACAGCCTCAGAGCACATATAACACAATTCTTGCCATCTCAGGTCCGGGAAAAGGGAGACAGAATAATGTGACTTTATTCTCCATGTGCAGCACAGAGAAGCCAAAACATATGTCTGTATGTTCTCCTACTAATATTTATTGCAAATACATGTCTAAGATTTGGATTAGGGGTTTTGGGGGGTCAGGTTTGGGGTTTTGTAATTATGTTACTAAACATATTTTACTGATGTTTGCAATTACCCCAGTTTTACAGAGCTGTTCAACAGTCACATAATTTCTAGTTATTTTTCCCCCAATTCTCCATGCAAACTCCTCTATGGCAATTGTAGCAAGCACAATCAAAAAGTCTCCCTTTGATTTTGAAGTTCGTTACATTACTTAATGCAATAAATCACTTCAGATGAATCCGTCTGTGGTTGCTTGGAAACAACATTCTCTTTAGTTGTTTCTTAAGCACATCCAACTTTCCCTCCCTGGTAACACTGGAACAAGTCTACTTTGTCTTTCTCACATGTTACCTGTAAGACAGTTCCCAATTTCTTTTCAGCTGTACCAATCCCCTGTTGTCACACGCAGTGTTAATGGTTAATTTTCAGCGCTGCTGACCTTGTCAGCTTGTCCATGTGTTACAACACTAGCTTTGCTAAGGACTAGCATGGAAATCCGCTTAACATTTCCTGGAACTGAGTTTTCAGTTTTTTCTTTGCTCTTTCTTGCTGTAGTGACTGTTTTTTAGAAAACAAAAACCCCAGATATACTTCCATTAATGATTATACTGCAAAACTGAGAGCATCATAGGAAAAATTACAACTTTGAAGCAGTATTTTCCAAGACGCCTCTTAGAGTCACTAATAATGCTGTCTTAACATAACCTAGGATTGTTTTCCCCTGTGTCCATTTTAGGCCCCGAAACAGCAGACACTGCCATCTCATCTTTTTTTGAAAGGGAAACTGAAGCACAAGACTATAAAAGTCAGCTACCTCCTTTCTGTAAATCCAGTTAGACACAGACTATCATTTACACTAAGGTAGAGCAACAGAATTAGACAACATCTGTGAAAAATTCAGTTTTAAGTAATTCCCTCAGTATGACAAAGAATATCTGACTGAATCTCAGTGTCTGCCACTGATTTTTTCAGCATACCCTTCAGTTACTCTCATCTGAAATCATCCTTCCAGCTAAGCATTCACATAGACTCATAGAATGGTTTGGGATGGAAGGGGCCTTAAAGATCATCTAGTTCCAGCCCCCCTTGCCATGGGCAGGGACACTTTCCACTAGACCAGGCTGTTCAAAGCCTCCTCCAACCTGGTCTTGAACACTTTCAGCTTCTCTGGGCACCTTGTTCCAGTACCTCTCCACCCTCACAGTAAAGAACTTTGTCTTTATATCTAATCTTAATCTCCCTTTTTTCAGTTTAAAACCATTCCCTCTTGTCTGGTCACTACATGTCCTTGCCAAAAGCCCCTTTCCAGATTTCTTGTAGGCCCCCTTTAGGCAGTGTAAGGCCGCTAAAAGGTCTCCATACAGGAGCCTTCTCTTCTCCAGGCTGCATCACCCCAGTTTTATCAGCCTGTCTTAACAGTCACAGCCTGCTTCACAGCATCAGTTCATTCCTAGAGCAGGTGCATCCTGTGCAATAGCTCAAACATATAATTATATAGATGCGTGTTCCAGCCCTGGTGAAAGCAGAGGGTATGGGGAGCTGAGGGGGGTTGGCAACTTTAACACCAATACTTTTTCCCATTGATATTGCAACAGCAAATGGCATTCTGCACTGATTTTGCAATAGGATTAACTCCCCAGTCCTGGTTGTGGTAATTGTTCTAAAACCAGTTGGTTTGTTAAATAGAAGTATGCTGAATGTACTAAGGAGACAATGACTGGTGTTAGGAGTAGGTTTGTGAAAATATATTGCTGGTATCGTTCTTCTCATGCAATTTCAAAGCCTGAGTAAATTCAAATTTATGTAAATTCAAAGCCTGAGTCAGGTAAACCAAACTAGTAGTGGTCACCTTTATTTTTAAGCCATAATATGTAGAATTGCTCTGACCAGGATATATTTTAGCTGGTAAAATATCATCTAGCAATTAATGTTACAACATAAGCATCCCTGTCACAATACACTGATACCAGGAACAATGAAAACTCAAGCATGCAAACAGATTTACGCAAGAAACCTTCCTTCTAGACTACTTCTCTATTTCCTACACATAAGCTGCAACTATTTTGTTAAAAATAAAACACAAAACCAAACCACACACACAAAAAAAGCCCAAAGCTTTAAATGTTCTTACTCTTTCTGTGACTCTCCCTAGGGTCACAGAAGTACACGTTTTCTGGTTAGCTGAGCCCAAAACTTGTTCTCCAAACACTGTTTTGGACAGCAGATGGATAAAGCAAAGTTTCAGTCCATATGGAACTAGAAATCAAAACTTTCTGTTCAAAATGAAATGTAGCATGAATATGTATGAAGATTGGCATCATCAAGTAAAATGGTGCCACTGTTTCAGGATTTTTAAGTATTGGCAACTTCGAACTGCAGTTTCTGGATATTCATCTACATTTAGAACTAAACCAAATAAAACAGTTAATGGGAGCCCTGGGTTTCAATCTCTGGGTTAGGAACTACTCATATATTTTATTCTGTAATACTGAAAGTAACATTATGTAATCTTCCATGTTCTCCTTCTTTGGGTAATGACCTATGATTTCTTTCCTGCATAACATAACATCCACAAGAAGTGTAGCACATGCACTTCTCACCTATAGCAAACTACAGACTAGTAGTAATTGCACTTTCCAAACGGGAAGGCACTGAAAAAGATAAGGAAGGGGAGTCACATCCTCCTTTTCACAGGTAAGTGCACTGATTTTTAGTCTAGCTTATAAATGGTATATTAATACAACGTAATCACTTCTTTAAGAAAACAAAAAGGGTTTTGTGAGAGATTACTCCAAGTCTTTTTTCAAATCAGGTTATCCCACCATATTACATGAAGCAAAGCCTACCTAGGTTAAAAAAAAAAAGGTAAATTAATTCGACAATCTATTTAGACCAGAGCAGTTCTGGACAAAGACTCAGAGATGGGTGTAACTAGAATCTGAGAGTCAAACTGGCACCTGCTGAATTTAGACAGGTGGCTAGCTGGTGCTTTTAGGATCCAAGATGGATTACATCTGGAGACCTGCAGGACAGCGCTGTTACGGAGCCTGGTAAAAAATGTCCTTCATTGGATTTAATCCTAGAATCACAAATTCGCTTGAATTAGATGTTGCGAAAATGCAGCTAAAGTAGTAGTCTGTAATTTTTTTCTATTTACTTCATAGAAAATTAGTAAACTTAAACCATCCTTATATACCATAATATCATCAGCTAGTTGAACGTTAAGAACAGTGAAGTGATGTACCCCTCAAAATAGGAGGCACCATTTAAAATTACTCTGTCCTGTTCTTCCTACTGACACCACCAGTTTACTCACTTGTAGCCATGATACCTGGAGGACATGCTGGTATCCCGTGATCAACTGCCCATCTGTAAGCTCCTTCACCAACTAAAAAGCTAGGAGACACAGAAGAGGGAGTTTAAACAAAACCATATAACAAATCCCCCTTTTCTTGCAATTACTTTTTTTCTATTTGGTTTGGTCACTTTAATATCATAAGCTGTCTACATTTCACAGAAATGTCAGCTATAATTACATTTGGCAACCTTATGTAGTTTCATTAAGAGACTATGCAGTTCTGACAGTAAGGTTAGTATTGGATAAAAACAAGTGCTATTAAATTTGAAATTAATTACCAAATAGCACCAGCTTTTAATTGCAGCTAAAAAAAAAAAAGGAAAGAGCAGTCTAAAGCCTAGGTCTCTGTAACAACTTAGTGAGATCCTGAAGACCAACAACATGGGATGAATGAGGCGAGAATGGTTAAGGTATTTCCAGTAGTTAGCCAATGCCACAGCAATATCAAGAAGTATTTTGAGAAGTACAACACAAGCTAAAAATAAGCCTTATTTGGAAGGCTGAAGGTCTATCTCATGGAGTTTTATTAAGCAGCTGCAAATAGGACAAGTTACTGAAGTTTTAATATACTTGCTAAAAAAACCCCAACAATCTCAGAAGTTGGTTTTTAGTCAGTAGTGAACACTTTGCAGTAGTGAGACAGTACACACTGCCAGGACAATGAATGACAGCAAAAAATATACATAGACATGTAGCTTCTATGGAGAGGAAAAAAACAAAACTAACAAACAAGCCTCAGTTACCTAAGTGTCCCTGTAAAGAAATGCATCTGATTCCATGAAAAGAGGAATGCAATATATAGAAATGATATACTTTGAGAAAGCTGCTGCACAACAGTACTGACAACAGCAACTACTTCCAATCTTTAATTTCATATCCCACTTTTGAAATAAAAATAACACAACTGCCTAATGGACACAAGAAGTAAAGACTGTTACAGAAATACCAGACTTATGAATATGAGGCTATAGAAGATATTGCAGATATAGAGTAGTCCCTGGGGCCACCTAGTACTACAATTTCTGAGAACATTATTGATATAACAAATTTGATAGCATTAATGCTGTTGGAAGTTTTCTTGACAGTGCTATATTTGACACCTGCAGCTTTCAGTACGTAGTATTTCGAAGTGGTACATTCTATCTGATCACAGAGAATCACAGAACGGTTTGGGTTGGAAGGGACCCTAAAGACCATCTATTTCCAACCCCTCTGCCACAGGCAGGGACACCTTCCGCTAGAGCAGGTTCCTCAAGGCCCTGTGGCCTTGAACACTTTGCAGGGAAGTATTCCAGGAATCTTCTCTATGACTTAACCAATACAAGAGCGGTGTCCAGTTTTCCCTTACAAAACTCTCAAAAATTAAAGTTTATCTAGATGAGGATTTGAACTGTTAAATATGTATTTCTTACCATTGTTAGTGCAGCTCCAGATAAATATTGTTCACGTTGCAAGACACTGTAGGATAGTTACTGGGTACTTTGCGAGAACTCAAGTGTCTCCTATTAGGTAAGCTAGTGCTCAAGAAACAACCTGTCACTTTCATTAACCTAAGAGAGAAATGCAAACCGTGGCCAAACCTAATTAAGCAGTATTCTCCACTGACTAAAAGAAGAAGGTTTGGTAAAAAAGCTTATATTGAGAGGAAGGGTAAGTGGAGAAAGTAAAAGTATCAAGCTTAAGCATTAGGAGATTTATATATGGTAACTAGAATAGCACAGATCAGTCAGAAATACTGTATTTTACAAGGAACATCATATTTGCCTTTTTAATACTTAAAAACACGGTCACTAGTATTTATGAAGACTGTAAGAAAACCACACAAGAACACCTCAAAGTGATGCGACTTTTTCTTTGCTCACACTTTAATTCCTAGATTCTTCTCCTTCTTATAAAATGGGCACAGATAAAGTATTTTACAACTCTGGTCCCAAAGAACAGTTAGATTACGTGAAGCAGACATTTAATTGAGGCCCTGCAACACCACAGAGATCATCCACCTCTTTTAAACTTTTCAGTTCAGATTTCTGGGAAAGACAGCAGAATAAGTTAAAATATACAGTTCACCAAAAAAATTAAATAAATCAGAATACTACCTAGACTGCATCTCCTATAAATTGAGATATAATTGTTTGGTAAGAGACTGCTACAGGACATAGAGCATGACCTCAGTTCTGCAGGTAACCAAATAGGTTTAATTTAAACAAGACTGAACAGTCTTTACACCATCCCAAAAAGGAAGTTCTGTGATCACACAGCCACACACAGTTACATCAGCCAAAGATGACAGGGTGGCAAGAGGGTGGGAACCAACAGTCTGGCACTAGGCAACTGCTTTAGCTGCCATGAGAACCATCCATGCAGCCGCGTAGAAAAGGTGCAGCAGGCAAGGATGAGTAGGGAATACTATAAACTGACATAAAACCAAAACTACCTTTAAACAGCTCTCATTAACCTTGATTTACTGGGGGGAGACAAAAAATAGGGAAAAAAGCCACTGGGCTACAGAAAGCAGTCAAAATCCTACCAAGTTTCAAAAGCCATTTGGGTAATTCAAAAGAAAATTTTCCAAAAGGGTGGGGGAACCCAAAACCAAAATCTGAATGAGTTTGTGCTCTGCTACTCTGAGAGTTGGTCTTGCACAAACAAGATAAAAAGACCTCTTTGCAATTATAGCAACTTAAGAGTACTCTACAGTTGTTACAAGATCAGAATACGTAGAAAATGAAAACATCCTCCCAGCAAGGAGCCAATGCTTGGACATTTTAAGTTCCAGGCAAGCTAGACGATACTAATGGTAAATACAATTAAAGATCTCTAAAAATGGTCCTTTTGGGCAATTTTCTCCCAGAAGATTATTATCCTTGCTTTATTTGCTCCAAAGAGGACCATTTAATATGGGCTGTAGGGAGACAGGCCACAGCAAGCTAAACAGAAGGTGAGATTCATTAAAGATGCTCAAGGCAATCCTGAATATAACAAACTCACTTTGTAATGTTTACTACAAAATGCAGCAATCGCTCTGAAATCACTGCTACAAAGAAGAAATTGTTCAAATAAATATAGAACAGAGATCAAAGGTGGCCTAGGTCTTCACTCTAGGCACTTTCTTGACTATACATTGCCCTGAAAGCTACACAAAGTACATAACCTACCTACAGTACTGTAAAACTATGAAGTAACTATAAAACCCTGTATAGGAGGGGGAACAAAACCCTAAGAAGGGATTCTTTCCCATATGGGTTACTACTACTAGTATTAATACTGAAAAAGGGATACAGACATTAACTTAGGTATCAGTAGTACTAAGGAGTTCTGAGAAAGGAGACATTTGTACCACCCTGCAATTCTTACACTTAATAGTAAACAGATGTAAATAAGCCTTTTCCCTTAGGAAGGTCACCGTTTCAGTATAAAAAAATCTTCAAACATACTACTACAAAACATCTAATCCACTATTCCTGTGACCAAAGATCAATTCCAAAGATCCATCCAGTTCGTAACTGTGCACTCAGAATAGTGCTTTCTTTTGTAAAATCATACAATGAACAGGATACATATCATCATCTATGACAATACTTAGCATTTACAAGGTCAGTATTTTCTCTTCCTGTGTACACAGGGAGAGAAAATCCTGACATTGAGCCAAATAAAATATGGCAGAAAGATGTAACTTGGACCTTAGAAGTTTCAACAATTGCACTCATGCATTCATGGATTCTCTACTTCCAACTTCTTAAGTTTCAGTTTGGACAGTGGGATTCTGTGTTTTAAAGAAGACAAGATGTTGATCCAGAATGACACATTCTACACATCAATTTACAGCAAACTGCATACATCAGTTAGAACACTTGACCACTCCTTCCCAATAAGCTTACCACTTGGAACAAATTCATTCACACTCATTAGAATTTTTTCTACTGAAAACTAGAAATGTACCACTTTGAATTTATTTTCAACTGTCACTATAAAAACGGGTGCAGAACAGCCATAAAGGGGCCAAACTATCGGCCTCCATGTCTTCATTTATAGACAAGAGTCTCCAGAATGCCACTTTTACTAATCTCACAGTTACTGAATTTTTTTTGTGGGTTCACGTGCCAAAACATTCTGGCCAGGAAACATTAAGTTAGTTTAAATGATGCTATAGTAACAGTGTCTACCACTAGGCTTCTTTAACAAGACAGGTCCTTAGGGTAAGCAGTATCTGGAAAATTCCCCAATACACTATTTGCCCATGAAAAACACAATGAAATTTGGCTATCTTTACAAATAAAAACCAGTTACTAAAATCCTGACACTTGGTAGGAATGCCAAAATACAGCTGCTCTCTTGTCATTTGACTACATACATTCCCAGCTTGTGCAGGTATATATTTCAGTACCAAAACAACATGTCATGCCAAACCCTGCCAAAAAGGCAAGGCATGAAATTGTCAATATTCATCACCTAAAATGAACATTAACTTTATCCTTCTGAACTTGGGATACCCCATATGTACAGAAGCATCTATCACAGTAAGTCTATAGTGCAACCCATCGTATCCTGCTATTACAGATTATTTCCAGGATAACTAAATTGCTCTAATAAAAGTTCAAAATCCAGAATGGGAAAAAGGAAATGAAAATATGTATTGGGTAACTGAAGTCCACAACATTTGCACAGTAAACTGTATGTGTTGGCTCTGAAGACAGTTCACCTCTCGCCTCGAGAGTTCAAGCTCCCTTGTCTTTAAAAACATCTGCTAGCCAAGACTTTGCACGGTGTTTTAAAAGATTAAGTCTTGTCCTTTGAGGGTAAGAGGATATAGTTTCTTTTCCATTCAGGTTTTGTTTTTTTAAGTAACAGCAGCATAAAATAGGTCATGAAGTTACAGCAAACATGCTAAAACACCCAAGTACCCTTCCTTACAACAATCTGAGAGAACATTGTGACGATACAGAAAAACTAAACCACAAGTGCTTGTTCCTGTAGCTGACTTCAGCTCTACTTCAGGAACACCAAAAAAACCCCCTCATTTGATACTCTCTTTAATGTAACCCAGCTAAGCCCCACTTTCTCCTAACATCTGAAGAAATGAGCTACTAACAGCAGTAGAAATTCAAGTTCTTATTCCGTCTGAATACTTCTAATTCTCTGAAAAAAAGAGTAAGTTCTCTTACTAACTACAGTTACTCTTTTCTTTCTTCATTAAAGAAAAGAGTTTTAAATGCACAGTCTGCTTGTTGGTGGTTTGGTTTCAGGGTGGCTTTTTTTTTTTTGATCTATGAACTTCCTTTGCAGCATGACAGAACACCAAAACAGTGCTTTTCCTCACTGTTTAAATTGGAATGCTATACCATCCAGCTACAGACTACTTGGCTGATTTTACAGAACAACATAGGAAGGAGAGTAATATTTGTGTATCTAAATATACATATTTTAAACTACATAAATCATGGTTTAATACATCTGCAAATACTGGAGTCCATTAGTTAGCAATTGGTAGCAAATCTCTGCTGCAGGTATGATAACTGAGTATAGCAGTGTATTAATACGAATTGCTCCAGTTCTCTACTTGTCAATTTAAGCTGTTAATGAAAATAAGACGGCTTTAAGAGCAATCAATTCTGACACATCTCTTGGATTCTTTCCAAAATGATGCATAATATTCCATCTAAGTATTAAACCCATCTTAATAAAGGAATGCACAATTTCATTGCTGTTGTAAATGCTATTAAATCTACCTTTAAGATAACTTTCCATTTTGGCTAAGAGGAAGTTACTAAACACAGCACATTTCCATGCTATACCTACCAAATAAAGCCACAAAGATGGGCAGTAAAGCAGGAATAAGGCAGGATTCTTCTATATACTTGTAAGAATTATACTGTTTTTTTAAAGGTAGATGGAAGCAAAGGCAGTAGAATTTCATTTTAATCTTGACGTACTCAGTGATTTCTCAAAACGCTACAGTAACAAATGTAAGAATTCAGTATGACATAACTGGAAATAATCACACAGACAGAAATTATCACAAAATGATGTTGCCATCTATTCACAATACTTCATTCTAACCACAGCTTCATCAAGTGCACAAGATGTTTCAAGATCAGAGAAAAAAGCTTATCTTCATTTTAAAGGCTGGTATGTAAAACAGCACCAGCCTTCTTGGCATAGGATATAACCTTCAAACATGACATGCAGTAAGAGACAAAAGACCAAAGTAAAGTCAAGCAGAACAAAGCAATTACCAAGGTGGAATTCTGCCAGCAGAGAGTTTTCCCTTCTGCCCTTCACACAACAATCTATTTGCAACTGAAACTGGATTCTTGATTCCTGAAAAGAAAAATTAGCAAAAAATGGGAACAGAACATTAAAATATTTTTCCACACAGCATTGTAGTGTTCATTTTGGCAATGGAAGTCAACTTCCTTTAACTTCCAGAGCTTTGCCAAGTCAGTAAGAGACACCTTATGTTATGTTTCAATTTAAAATCAACTTCATTACTTTCTCCTTCACATATCCTATCAGTAGTGACAAGCCCTTCTTCTAATCCACACACACTTTCTCTTTTTTAATGAAAGAATCATATTGAAATATTAGGAGTGACCTCCTACCATAGAAATCTTAAATTCAATCTATAGTATGCTACAAGCCAAAGATATTTTATGAGCATTAATTTTTCAAGATGGAAAGAGCTTTCATTTGGGTCGATCTGGCCAGAATAGGGATTATAGGATTCAGCCTTAGCTGTCTCTCATTCCCTCATTTCCTCCTTCCCCATGGTTGGAAGGATACATTTTGTAACAATCAAGCCCTGAAACACTTCATTTTACTATTTATTTAAGATTTATGTCTACATGAGGAAGTTATTTCCAAGGTTTAGAGCTATTCTAGGATAAAGAACAAAGCTTGAATTTTTGTCAGAAATGCTATTAAATAGGAACAATTAAGGCTGTTCTACACACTTGAGAAAAACCTCAACAACGCCTATTTGGGATATATTACCTCATATTTGTTTTGTACTGAAAGGTAGACCTGGACACAGAAAAACCTTCAGAACAACAAAGACAGAGAACCACATCAGTTCTCAGATTAAGTCCCATATTCAAATGTATCTAACCTTGTAACAGTAACACACAAAATAAACCCAAATGTAACTGATCATGTGAAAGGAATTACAATGAAAAAATATCTACAGTTCAGAGAAATGCTATGTCCAAGCAAACAGCTTGACAGGTGAGCAGCTGGGCCCATTCTCACCAATACATGACAGGCTTCAGTCTGGAGGCTGGTACCCTGCATGGCCTTCTGACACTATAAAGGAAACTTCGGCCCCGCAGCATCCTAATCTGACCAACCAAACTGAGAGATCAAAATACCAAGCGACCTTATGATTGAATTACATACCACTAAGTTCTTCACGGAAATAGAGAACAAAAACTAATATAAAGCCTAATTTTAATATGTTTTAAGACAATTCCATTTTATTATAAAGTTATCATTCTACAAATCCATCTGAGCAAACTCTTCTCCATTGTGAATACTGTCTAGTATTGTACAATTTTTCTGCATCAAAGGATTATCAGTGAACTAATAAGACAATATTTTACACAAAACAAATGAACACAAAACAGTGTTTCAGGGAGCAGGAAAGCTTCCCCCTTTTTTAAAGGGGGCAGGTTTTATTTAAACAGCTCAGTATTTACAATGTGTCCCTCCCAAAAAGAAAAAAGTAACAAAAAATAACAAAATTGATCTTTGCACTTAAACCAGTAGTTAGCTTTATAATATGTAGTCAACATACCACTCAGTGCTCCAACAGCTCCAAAATTCAATGACTTCCCATCCATTATACTGGCATCACATTCTATCTCACCCAGAAGGTTTAGGTTAGACCCCAATCCTGCATTTGTAAAAGGAGAATCCTACAAATAAGAACAAAACACTGTGAGGCCACATCCATAACAGACTCGATCAAAACCTTGCTGTAACTGGTAAAACGACACTCATCTTGGTGCAGTGCGCTTTCTTATTCTAGTAGTTTAATCTCCCGCGACAAAAACAGCAGTGTGAACAGGATATCTCAAATTACGGTAATAGAGACCTTACACCCTCTACAAGGTGTGATGTACCTCATGTGCTAATACAAAAAAAACAATCACTCAACAATTTAAGATCACCATTTATATGCAAGCAGAAGCCTAACAACACAAGTGAAAATCTCTTCTTCCATCCTTCAAAATATGCACTTCCTTTGGTCCCTAACCCACCGAGTAACAGTTAAGTAGTATCTAATAACCACCGCACAGAACACAGCCTACCACTGAAACTCACTGAAACTGTGACATAGCAGCCAAACAGAGCTGTACCTTTCCTTAACATTCTAAGCCTAAGACTGCAGCTGGTAGGCAGAAATCAAGACATTCAAGAAATCAAAACAATTCACTTTGTAAGATCTCTGTGATCACTAGCATCAGGACAGTCATTACTGTGGTCTAGAAGCTTCTTGAATAAAAACCAAAAAGTATTCCACAGCAAATATGGAACAACATCTAATAGACTAGTTATAAACCTAACTCCTCTTGTGTTAGCACCTTCTTGTACCTCTTTGCAAAATCAAGGTTCTCAAACAAGAAGCTTCGCATGCTACAATTAAAACCACTCATTTCTGCCCTTCCCATTTCATCAGTGCATCCCCATGATTTTAAATCCACAGACTGTCTAAGCAGCACCAGTTAAGGTGTCTCACTGCCAACTCAATATAATCCGCTTCCTAGGTGAAAGAACAAAACAAATAAGAAAGGTAACAGCCCAGACCAGACAAATATTAAAATTTCAGAGAGGCTGCTTTCAGAGTTTTGTATCTGTTTTTATTACATAAAATAACCTATGATGTTACTGATGCATCTTTGCTTATTTCCTATTTTACTGATGCAACTAAGAAAAGTGATTGTCTAGACCACATGCAAATATGTCAATGAAATTAGATGGCCATGCTTTTACAGTATATGCAATAAAAGCTGAATCAGGAAACAACTTACTGGAAACAGCTCAAAGTTCTGTCTTAAATGTAATGTGTAATGAATACAAGGAAACAAAAGAGCACACAAAGAAAAATTTGATGTGCATCAGTTAGCTTTAGTTAACTTTCAAATTAACATAAATACAAAACCTGGTTTGCAAGATGTTGATTCTAATTTACAAAGATATTTGAAGTGTTCTTAGTGTCTGAGTCATCAAAACACTATCTTCTTGGAGAATCATGAATATATAATACATGATTAATACATAATCATGAAACAGACTGTAATCTCTCCATGTTCATTTTGTACTACTCATTACCTGCTTTTTCCTTCTGCATCCAAGAAACAATACAAGATTTTATCCCGATTTATCGATCCTATTTTATCCCACACCACAACGGGTTTTCAAACTCACGGTGTATATTCGCAGTGGTGTTCATTTTGATAGCTATCCCTCACAGCAAATAAGTAAATTTGAAAAGATTTTAGGATAACGAAATATTTGCAGTTTAGCACACAGGGAATAACTTTCACGGACTGGGGTGGGATATGATTAAAAAAGGCTACCAAGATGATGGCCTTGAAAAGGTGGACAACTGCAAAGCAGCTGCTGGCTGAACCGACTTCATTGCTCCCCAGGCTCTACGAGTATGAAGAAAAATAATCAGTGAAGTTTACAACAAAAGGAGCAGGGAAGTGAAGAAAGGAATCTGTACACAAACAGTGAAAGGTACTTGGAGGATGAAGGAAAAATAGGCACGTGTTATGATGAACAACACTTACTCCTAGTGCTGTCCAAGTTCCTTGCCCATGGGTAATTAAGAGAGCATAGACCTGCAAGCCTGGAGACAGATTTCTAATGTTCTGTTCCAAAAACATTCACTCAGTACATTATACTCAAAAGCATTAGCAAAGAGGAAGAATTTTATGCTGTACAGATTTGTCACTGCCACAAAGCAAACACAGCTGTTACCTTAAGAGCAGATGCCATGGCCAAATAAACGGAGTGAGAAGGACCCATCAGAACAGAAGTCCTAGTAACAGTGTCCAGAGCCCTTCTGCAGCCAAGACACAAAGCTCTCTATCCTCTCATAATAATCAAAAGAAGGAAAGAGGGTTGGGAAAAAATACAGGCTAGAGTGTCACTGGTTCACTTTATTTCTAAAAATCTAGATATGTTCAATGCTTTCTAGATATGTTCACCTTCACTGCCACAACATCAAGGATGGACCAAGGGACAACTTATTCAGATGATCTCAAGACAAAGAGAATGACTATGGAATACTTATCAGAATACCACACAATGTTGCATAAATAATAACTCTACATCAACAAATCTGTAGATGCCTCTTTGGTGGCTTAACTCTTTCATTTTAGGACTCGGGAGGAATCTGACCAGTACAATCAGTCACAACATGAGCAAATTCTCCAGTAAAAGAAATAAAGACCCAATTCTAAGCATCTGTTCAAAATTTCTGTGGAGCTTTACAACCAGAGGGCAATTACGAAGACGGTCTCAGAATTGCCAAGAAGATGGTCTACTCTATCTTTACAGATCTGAAAAGTGATCTGGTAACAGCTTTAGATAGGGCAAACACATGGAAATTTCAATACCTACCCGAGTGTCTCTGAGACATATAAAGGCTTTGAAATCAGACAGGGGAAAACCATTATAAAACAAGGAAACAGAAATTCACACCTTCTTCTGTGAACAGGCAAAGACATGAAATACACCACACAAATACATCCCTTTTTGAAAATATGAATCTCTGTAAAGCCTGACCAAAAGATTTCAAGCTTCTGATATATAAATGGAGGAATACAGCTTACGACAATGAAAGTGTATTTTGACATGAATGCAGAAGTATTATTAAAACAGAAGTGTGCCTGTTTTCAATGGGGGAAGAAAACAGAGTTAACTGAAGCAGTCCCTTCATAGACTCAGATAGAAAAATGCAGTACTGCAAGAACTATATGACTACCATGGGATGGGGAAGAACCCAATCAAAGCATGTATCCAATAAGAAGGAAGAAGGGAAAGGAAGAAAAAGGTTTATTCTATCATTCTATTATAATAAAAAGGTATCTTCAGGAATATACATTTATGTGTTTCTGAAGACATAAGGAACCCAAGCAGAGATCGGTCTGATATTACTAAGGCGACTGAAAAGAAAGACAAGCAAATCAAGCATGAGCTTTGCATGTTAACAGCAAGCCCTGTCACCATAGAAAAGTTAAAAAGAAGAGGGAAAAGACAAACAAAAGGCTTTCAAAGCATTTTAACAAAACATAAGCTTTTAATTAGGTGAAAAATTCCAGACTACCTGGCAACTACTCCACCACTGAAGTATCTCTAACTTACAATGTAAACCTGCAGCAAAGGAGATAATACAAAGCTTTAAGATGTGAAACAAGTTTCATTTTCCCAAGTCACCTATCTTGTAAAAAACTCCCAAGCTACCAAGGGTATCATTCTTATTTTTTAGAATCCTTTTTACTTCCAGATGTATTTATAAATCTTCCAGCAGCAAACACAGCCATGCTGAAGTTTCTAGCTGTGGTCAAAGTTGGAATGCTTGAAGAAGTTACTCAACACTATTACACTAATACTCCTGAATTACATCTAGGCAAATAGATAACAGAGCTCTATTTTCAACATGTGCTAAAGAACATTCCATCCATCTTTGATACAGTTTTGGCCATGGTTTATTTGCAACTTTAGAAGGGGTTCAAGTCTACAGGCATTTCTTTTTACACATTCTGATTTTAAAATTTATTTTTGGAGGAAATTTAGTGACAAGAAGTACTAATCTATAAGGATGTCATGTCCCTTTCAATGACACCAGCTAAAATGTTTTCGAAGAACACTTTAGTCATAGATTACTGTTAGCCATTCTGCTGCAAAACATCATTGTATTGTTTTTAACTACAATTAACAATTTCCAGTTTATTACCCATTAAAAGTTTATCTACGGTGACTGCCTTAATACAACAAGGCCGCTGGCATTGTGCTTTCATCTTGGAAGACGAGTCCTTGGGTCTGACATTGTATACTCAAAAATCTTAATTACTACAAATTTAATAAATAAACAAAAATAAGGAAAATAAATAGTAAGTTATTTCAGTGCAAAATTTTGCTAAAGAAATGTTACTTCAATACTGTCTTTGTAAATGATGAGTCTTATGAAGCACCTTGTCCAGAAACAGTTTATTAACAAAAGCTGAAAGAGGTAACATGTTCATTTGTTTCTCTGCAATGACAAGAGTTCACAAACTGCAAACATAACTGCCTTTAATCAACTTGTCAAATACAGCTGACGCTTATGGAGACCAGCACAGTTATTTTAACAGTATTCTGGGTCAGCTGCTCTTGTTACTTCACAGAAGGAATCTACCTTTTCTCTAGTAATTATTATTTTAATCACAGAAGACGAGATTCACATACCCCAACAAAGAAAGGCCGGTCTTTCTCCATTTAGAGCCTGCACAAATAAAACAAAAAAACAGACAGCATACCACAAGCAAACTGTCAGCTTGCTCATAAAAGATCAAGAGCAAGTCTTGCGCCTCAACAAGTCTTTGAAGTGATGCCTCTTGGATTAGCTGAAATACCATGTAATGGGAGTTGTGTAATTGAGTGGAACTGAGGAATAAAATTAATCTTTTGTGACACTTTCATGAAAAAATACTTGTGCTGTGCAAAGGCTACAGATTTTTGGAACAGAGCATTGAAACTTCTACAGAACTGTAAAGGTGATTAAATATTTGAGATAAACTCACTGTAATGTGCCCTACAGCAACCAAAATATCAAGTAATTACATACAGTGCTCCACAATGGAATTTGTTATCACGTTACAACCTTTTGTTGTTTTGTATCTTAATCTGTATTAGTGACATGTGCAGACATCGTCTTCATACAGATTTTCACTATATATTTTCCGACTTAAATTACTGAAGTACTTTGAAAAAACAAAGTCATGTTTTTTCCTGCATAAACAGAAGCGAGTGTCAGCTCATTAGAGAGACAGACATCATACAAACTCACAGTTTTACCAATTAAATATTGTAATTGATGAGAAAAACTATTCTGTTTGCTTCGTTGACTTGCCACATACAGTTTCTGTTTTCCATAGAGCAATAGGAAAAACAGCAGAATTAAAACAGAAGATGCAGCTCCAGAAATGCCTGGAGGTGGTGTGCAGAATGAGGTATGAGTAGATACAAACCTTTCAACATCTTGAAATCTGAATTCAGATTTTGGAATTTCTCATACCAGATCCAAAAAATGCCATTGCAATCCACACCATTTTCCATTTTAAATGTACCTTTGATTTTTCTCAATGTAACTGCATAGCTACGTACCTTAATTTAAAGGAAGCCCAAATCCCAAACCAAAATTCTTTATCCCAATAACAGAGAACAAATCACAATTAAGAGGTTTTATAAATCACTTCATGAATAAACAAAAACCAGTAAATACATTAATGGCAGCAGTACAACCTAAATAAATTGATATTTAATCTGAAAAAAACAGGGAAAAGTGGGGGGAAAAAGTAGGTTTTGTGCAACAGAACACACAAAAACACTATCCAAGACAATTATTAAACCAGAAAGTGTAATGATGGTACATCTCATCACAATAGTAGCATGACAGACAAGGAAAAAAAAGGTTTCTGACTAGAGAAATTTCATAAATTGAAATAAATTTCATAAATTGAGGCACTGGAATGGGTTGCCCAGGGAGGTTGTAAATGCTCCATCCCTGGCGGTGTTCAAGGCCAGGTTGGACGAAGCCTTGGGTGGCATGGTTTAGTGTGGCAGGGGGGTTGGAACTAGATGATCTTAAGGTCCTTTCCAACCCTAACTATTCTATGATTCTATGAAAAAAGGTTTTAATTTCATCTTGAAGACGTTACTTCTTACACAGAAGCTACTTAAGAGAATTTACATCTACTAAAGAAAAATCTCTTGGGGACAACAGAAACAGACAAAATATTTACCCCAGATGCAGCTCCAAAGAGATACATAACTGTTAATTTCAGCTTCTTAAAGCATGTTTTCTTCTGTGTAGCTCAGTAAAAAAAATCCCAACACAAAGCAGATCTTTTTTTTTTTGCCCAACTGAGGAGGGAACTGAACACAAAACAATCTTGTGAAGTAGCAGCAGACTCAGTTAGCTTATGGAAGTGCATTATAAATAATTCCATTAGAGAGAGATTGTGTGTTTTCACCTAGCTGTATTCTGATGTTTAAGATAACACATGAAAGCATATTCGAACAGCTCAGTGGAGACCAAAACTACTGTTTAAATCCAAGAAGCTCGCCAAGTTGAAAGTATGACTGAAGTCTTGGCTCCCAGTCAGCATGTCTAACACACATTAAAGTACATACTGCCTGCCTTATGCTGACCCTATCAAGTATGCTAATTCACACTGTCCCAACATATGCGTAAGCAAATCCACTGCTAATCCTCTTAGAATACTACCATAAATTTCAAACCCAGCACAACACTTAGATTGCCTTCTACCTTTCCTAATGAAGCTGGAGAAGAAAAAGCAATTACTCCTTATAGGAGAAGAGGAATACCTGTTTCAATCATTACTGCCATGAGAGATTAGTGGACCTGGGACAATAACAAAACTGCCTCATATATATTTCAAAAATTCTTGCAGTTTTACTCTCTTCTACGTTATTTCATAGGGACCCTTTACTAAAGTTAGATGCTATAAAAAACTTCACCTCTCCAAAAAGAGGTTTCCAGAAAGCTCATAAACAGCTGCCCATCTCTTTGTGATTATCAAGACTTTATCTTAATTAACAAGTACCATTTTGAAATAAAAGCAGTACTTATCCTTGTACACATATTTTATCATAAAAATCAGAAAAAAAAAACCAAAACATTATATTACACTGAAGTCACATTTCTCTGACCAGCCCGCTTCTAGTCTCTAATCCTATCAGAGATCACACAGACAGAAAGTAAAAATGGAAGGAAAAATGCCTTTGGAATTGTACTAATTTAAGCTCATAGCAAAAGTATGTTGTGGTATAAATGAGAACTTAAAACTCCTACTTGATTTTCACGGAGTCCTTCAATTGCATAGAGAGACAAGCAGCCTTACATTTCTACAATAGCCTTTGTAGAATTGTCCTGAAGAACTGAATGACTTATGAAGAACACAACCCAAGAAAGCATCCTCAGAAACAGTTACCTCACATTAATTACAACATGAGGGTTAATAGAACTGCTAAAGACTAACTACATCTAAATTCCTTGCATCATTAATTCCAAGATATGACAACATATCTCCGTGTGAGATATTAATGCAAACAAAAAGAATAAGGACTTTTAATTTCTAGTCAATATATATGACCAGTAACATGATTTTCTTTCCTATCTAAGAAGCAGAGCCAGTACAGTCTGCCTGAGCTTGGTAATTCAGAAATAAAGTTCCCCACAAAGCGTTCAGTAAGTCCTTAATAACTATTTATTCTTGAAGGTTAAAGACAATCTGACAAGGCATCCCTAAGATGACAGCCAAATGGCACCAACTAGACAACTTCTATTCAGTTTGCATTTTTTAAAGTCTTTAAATACATTTACTCCAAAATACAGTGGAAAAACAAAAGATAAAATTAGTGTAGCACAAAACGGGAAATCTCAGTAGACTTCCCACTCGAATTAATACCTTCCTACAGAAAAATCTTGCAACTGAAGAGACATATTTACTCCTAGTCAGAAATTCATACCTCTAATTCTATAAGTGCTGCAGTCACTGCATCTGTTGCAAGAGCACCAGCCTGTAGCTTTTCAATTGCCTGTAAAAACAGAAGTATTAGTTGATGATTAGGAATTTCTAATATTATGTGACTAAGCCCTATATTTTCTTAGCCCTGTACAAAACAAAATCTTCACCAATTAGTTTGAAATGTAAGACCTTCAAATTATATACACACACAAAAATGAACTTTTAGAGCCTAATACTATTTTTTAGATCCATATTGGACTAAAACTTTACATTCAAGCTCTCTCAGGGAACCCCAGGAAACAACTGTGTCTGCAGCTTCAGTTGCAGGACAAAATGCAACTGTTTGTTCTTCAGACGAATTATTTATGTTGGATACCAAGCTTAAGGAACCAAATCAAATCTCAAATTAGACTTAAATACAACAGCAAACAACCTTTTTTTCACAGATAATTAGCTGGAAAATGGGTATTACCAGGGCTAATACATAATTTTAATGAAGATAGTGTTAAGTTTGGATGATTTTTGAGGCTTTTCATTACAAAATCAGATAGGTATTAGGATTGAGCAACAGAACTGCAAGATGAAGTGATAATTATCAGAGGCCAACTCTGAGACTCTTCTAAAAAGCCTGCCAACCTCCCTAGCTTCTTCTCCCTGGAGAAAGCAAAAGGCAACAGAAATTTTGGAGGCAGGTCTTCCAGCTTCTCGTTCAAGACACAGCAGACAGGACTTGCCAGTTCCAAAGCCAAATTCTTAGGGGAGATACAAAACATTAATTTTGATGGAAATTCAAGTCTTGCCATTACTCCCTTTCCAGGGATTAGATTTTTTTGTTTTTCCTGTTTCTACCTCCCCTCCTATTAAGAAGTTAAGAGCTATCAAGAAGAAATGAATTCTAGAAATCTTTGCATTCACAGAGCAATCTGGATGCTAGAGATTAAGTACATTCCAAAGAGAGTGGACATAGATAAAAGAAAAATCCAGATACCACATTTAGCTCAAGAAATCCTACAGCCTCAGGAACGGTGCATGAAGCTGTAGGAACATTCCATGCAGGTACCACTGTTACCTCTCCTGCTCCCCCACTGTTCCTTTGGTGTCTGCTATATATGCATCACTGATAAGAATGTTGCTGCACCTCGCGGCCATGCACTCTATTGACCTGGTATCACGTTAAGGCCTCTAGAAATGCATACACCGTGCGTAGCTAAACCCAAACATGCCCATTCACACTGAAGGGAGAGTGCTAGCAAATACCTTTCTTGTATACCCACTAAAGGGCTGTAGAGGTGGTAAGACATACCTTCTGACACGCTCTTTTGCACACATGCTTGTATTCTCTAGCTTTGGATTCGGAATGATAACCTGCACCTACAATAAAGGCAAAAGGAAAAGAGTTTACGCTACCTATCAAAAGCCTATAATTCACATAAAGATTTAAGATACATGCAGATACAGCCTTCCTGATTCCAGATTACACTGGCATTTCCTTTTTGTATCAATGACTGACAATTACACGCACACCAACATTGATTCAAATACACTCAATAAAATACAGGATACAGAGCATATATGCAGAAGCATGCAGGTATAAAACTCAGCATCATACAATCTCTTATGAAGTTCTTTACTGTAAGGGTGGTGAGACACCGGAATGGGTTGCCAAAGGAAGTTGTGAATGCTCCATCCCTGGCAGTGTTCAAGGCCAGGTTGGATGGAGTCTTGGGTGACATGGTTTAGTGCAAGGTGTCCCTGCCCATGGCAGGAGGGTTGGAACTAGATGATCTTAAGGTCCTTTCCAACCCTATTATACCCTGTGATTCTAAAAGCACTGTCCGACAGATTCCAGTTTTTCTTGTTCTTGGGGGCCTACAAGGATGCTGGAGAGGGACTCTTCATCAGGGTCTGTAGTAACAGGACAAAGGGTGATGGGTTTAAACATAAAAAGGGGAACTTCAGGTTAGATATAAGAAAGAAGTTCTTTACTGTGAGGGTGGTGAGGCACTGGAACAGGCTGCCCAAAGAAGTAGTAAATGCTGTATCCATGGTAGTGTTCAAGGCCAGGTTGGACAGAGCCTTGGGTGACACGGTCTAGGGGGTAAGAAGTCCCTGCCCATGTCAGGGGGTTGGAACTAGATGATCTTAAGATCTTGAGGTCCTTTCCAACACAAACCATCCTACGATTCTATATTTTAAAGATTAATAGTACTTCACAAAGAACCTACTAGAAAAGAATTAACGAATAAGACACACATAACACATTATTTGTCTATCACATCTGAGTAGATGATCTTTTCATTACATGTGGAAAGTATATATAGTAATTCACTAAAATATGGACAAGATAAAAAAGTCAAAAGTTGGAGGAAAGCTTTCAAAAGGGTAAAAAACCGTGAGGTTCTAGAACAGCCTAAAGAGCTTTCAGGAAGACTTGACTAGACTGTCCTTACAGTCAACTAGAGAAGAAACTGTCAGTAGTGAAACAGCTATGTTTCATCTACCCTTCTGCAGGATAAATAAATAGACTGAAAGACCTCTCACATTTTGTAGGTCTCCCAAGCTTAGCAGATAACTGCAGAATTTGACATTTTATAACCATTTAAACTTAGGGGGTTTCTTTGTCAAGGAGAAAAACAAAATAACATCCAGATCATCCCAAAACTTACATTTTTATTAGCAGTTTCCAACATCCTCCAGCCAATGCAACTTCCAATCAAGGTGTCCGCTCCCAGATTTACACCCAAAGTTAATGTCATTTCACTAACATACTAGCAGTCCAAAATCCATATAAGATTTTGATATTTAGCACTATTTCTATTCCAGCTGTTATGCTTCTGCATCTTACCTGCATGGACAAGCACAAATCCCACTCGTTTCCCTGTTTGGGTTTGCTTTGCTTCGGGCTCTTTGACCATCACTTTTACAGCTGTAACCTGAGACGATTCGGAAGGTAATACTTCTACTGAACTTAACCCCTTCTCCATGATCATACATTAGGATCACCATCTTCTACTGGAAAAGAGCACCCTTCCATTCAGAAATAAACTCTGGAGAGGAATCATCCTAAAACCAAACCACATGCATATGTTAGATACTGATTTCAAGAGACTAATTTCATACAAGTAACTTCAGAAAGCACTTTTGGAAGAGAGGTTTGAAACAAGAAGATTATGCCTCTTGAAAGAAGGGCTTGTAAATTCTGCCTCTTCCCTAGCTGACAGTATTAATGAGATGTAGAGTAACCAAAGTCCATGGTGCAAGTTGAAAACAGCCTTTTTTTATGACTTACCTTGAATCTAATAATCCTCCTAGACATTGGAGGGAATTGTTGATAAAAGGCTTGCCCATGGCTGAGAGAAGGCTGCTTTCCATGGTCTCCTTTTATTCATCAGTACAACTTATTTCTCTATTCTTCATGCTTAACTAGCTTTTAATGTGATGATGCTCCATAGCCACAATCTTCACTTCTTAAAAGTGTCATTCCTTGCTTGCCTGTAAAGTCCTAAGCGACACTTATAACAATGCTGGCAAAGCTGAGAGAGACATTCTACATGCTGAATTAATCCAGGAAATGAAAAAGCATGTAGTGTTAATACATGCATGGAAAAACCCTTTATAACATTTTGAGATATTCCAATATGATGCCTATCACTCCTACCACCTCGAAAGGGTCTATTTGTAACCTAAGAAGAACAGAAAGTAATACAAATGAAAAAAAGAGATGTTTAATAATGGGACTTAAACCACAGATTTTGCAAACACTATATGGCTTACTCCAGTAACTAAATACCACTCCATTCAAACAACCAAAACAATGCAAATTATGTTTAGCAAGATTCAGTATTGGCACAGAACAAACCTCCTGGTTTACCACAACCATCCTTTCAATAATGAAAACTAGCACAGCTTTCTAGGAAGTTATTTCTTTCATTTTTTTCTTAGGTACTAAACATACATAGGTATCTTCATATATTTAAAAACTAATATTTCAAAATTAAATATGAACTTATTATTGCAATTATAACTGTGTATATTGATACAAAATGATACCACTACAACATGTAGACTCTACAGACAGAAAAAGCACTTATGGACTACATCCAATGGTAATGGTTTCCTGTATAAACTTCAGAGCTAAAATTTAAGTCCTGATCGCTGCATTTATTTCCTTTTTGCTAATAAAAATGAAGAAAGTTCCAGCAGCCAGTAGTACAGGCAATAAGCTGAAACAGAGTCAGTTTTGTACAGACTCCACTTTGCTACATCGTATTACACCACGCAGGATATCATTAGAGCAATGAGGGCACAACAAAGCCATAAGTAAATGGACAGAGGAAAAAGTGAGGAACCTATATTCTTGCAGAAATGGAAGAAATAGTGTGGTGGTAGGGAAAGTAATAATGATGATAGTTAAATCAGTTTTGAAAATAAAAATACAGATGACATAAAGACTAAATAATAACATAACTCCAGACTGAAAACCATAATTAGGCCTTTGCATACACTTGGGTCCGAGTATATATGTTTATTTTTACCAAACCAGTCAAACCCACCTCAATAATTTTGTAACATTTACTCCACATCAACTCAATTTTGTCAAACCCCTTCTATCTCAAACCATTCTTCAAGTCCTTTCAAATTTCATTCACAAACCTGCTGGACCCAATCTGTCCCTTTGTATCTTCTTCTAGAATTCAGCTGTTCTCCTTCCTGGCTGTCATACATTCATCACTCCTGATCTCCTACCTCCATTTTACACAGTTCACTGCTCTATATCTGTGCAGCCACAGGAATACTGGCGGAATACACTCTGCTTTGATTCCTGACGAATGCAGAATGGTTTGGGCTGGAAGGGACCTTAAACCTCATCAGTTCCAACTCCCTGCCATGGGCAGGGACACCTTCCACTAGACCAGGTTGCTCCAAGCCCCTGTGTCCAACCTGGCCTTGACCACTGCCAGGGATGGGGCAGCCACAGCTTCTCCAGGCAGCCTGTGTCAGTGCCTCAGCACCCTCAATAGTGAAGAATTTCTTACTAATATTTACTCTAAATCCATTCTCTTTTACTCTAAGGTGTTCCCCTTTATCATATCACTACGTGCCCTTGTGAATCATAAAACATAAGAAAAAGTCATGAACCAAATCATAAACCAAAATGATTTCAAACTGCACTGAAAATTAACTCTGAGCCCTACACAGGCCCACAAAAAAACGAAAGCAGATGTGTCACACCTAATGTAGAAAGAGTTGCTTTTGCTTTCACAGCGTGCTTGCCACAAGCACTACAGCTAATCCGCCATTCCCCCCGGATTTAAAGCTCTACCTAACGCTCACTGCACAGAGAACATCTGTACAGAGCAAACACTTACAAACTCAGCGGAGGGCTGAAGAGAGAGATGTACACACCAGTGTCTCCATCTCAATACTGGGAATGTGGCAGAACTTCTCCTAAGAGGTTTTAGGGTTTACAGTAGGAAGCCTGAGAGCGGTAGAACGAAGAGCAACAGGGCGAGAGAGAAGCGCTTGACCCCACGACCGAGCAGCCGGGGAACGCTTCGATAACCGGGATGCAACAACAGCAACCGCGACGGTGGCGAGGAACCGGACAACCAGCAGGCACAGAACGAACCGGAAAAGAAACTTTTATTTGGAAAACACCCCCCTGCGGAACCTACCGCGGCCGCTGCCAACCCCCCGCAAACCCCCTGGGCCAAGCCGGGCCTGGAGAGAAGGAAGCAGAGGGGTCGAGGCCCGGTGTCCCCCCCCCCCCCCCCCCCCCCACGCCCCGTTACCACCGCCCGGGGCCCCGCCAGCCCCGTGTCCCCATGGCAACCGCCAAGGGGGACACCCCCCCCACCCCGCGCATCAGCCCCCCGGGAGGTGGGGCAGCAGCGGCGGGGGTGACGTCACCAGGGGAGCCCGCGCGGCCGCCTCGCGGCGCGGCCGTTACGCCCCTCATGCGCTCGCGGAGCCCCGGGAGCGGCGGAGGAGCGATACGCGGGTGCGGGGAGGTGGGGGAGGACGGGCCGGAGAGAGGCGGGACCGGCGCGGTAAGGCGGGGCAGGGCGGAACCAGGCGCGAAGCACTCACCCTCCGCCGCCGCCGCCAGCCCCGCGCACACCCGGAACCGCCCGCTCGCCTGTTGCCTCGGTGAGGATGAGGCGTCCCGCCCACCGCCTCGCTCCGATTGGGTGAGACGGGCCAAGCGAACGGAAATGGCGTCACGCTGATTGGCGTTCCGGTAGGCGAGTGGTGCTCCAGCTGCTGCGGGAAACACCAATCGCGGCGGGGGCGGGTCTCAGCACCGTTAGGGCGCCGCCGTTTACCTCAGGGTGGGCGGGCAGAGCTGTCGGTTCCTTCAGCGTTCGTGGGGGCCAGGCCCCGGCGGCTCCTTCGGGTTCCCCGAGGGGTGGGGAGGCAGCGTCCAAGTTCTCCCCGAGGGGAAGGCGGCGATGAAGGCGCTTCGAGGGGCGAGCCGGGGCTTACCCGGGGCTACGGGGAGCAAGGTGGGAAACGGGCACGGCTCTGGACCGCCGACCCGCTCCCCGGTGGCTGGGCCTTCACGCCGCCTGTCTCCCTGCCCTTCCTCGCAAACGGCTCCTTCCACCGCTCCTCATGAAGACCGAGTCTGAGATGTGTTCTGGATGAGGATTTCGGCAGTGGCCTCGTGTTTCATTGCCTCACTCCCGGCAGACATGAGTTGTGACATCTGCCCACAGCAAAACACAATACACTGATACAAGTGAATACGTTTTTAGTCGTGTCAGAGAATTCTCACTACAGCTGGGTATTTTACATCCTTCTGCTTCAGTTGGCACTTGAGTCTCGTGTATTGTTACAGGAATACTTGGTCCCAATTAATTTCTGCCTGCTTTGCTGTAAAGGAGATCATAGAATAGTCAGGGTTGGAAAGGACCTTAAGATCATCAAGTTCCAACCCCCCTACCGTGGGCAGGGACACCTCACACTAAACCATATCACCCAAGGCCTCGTCCAACCTGGTCTTGAACACTGCCAGGGATGGAGCATTCACAACCTCCCTGGGCAACCCATTCCAGTGCCTCACCACCCTAACAGGAAAGAATTTCCTCCTTATATAATGTCACCCAGGAGCAAGGGTGGCTATCTCTAAATCCTATTTCCTCGATACCCTCTCAGATGAACATTACCATCAGTCTTGAGATCCAGCTGTGTACTGGTTCATTGCCCCAGTCATCCCATTCTCTACAGTTCCCAAAGTGCCTGTGCACTTAAAGGCCCTGCTCCTCTTCTGTGGAGGGCAATGAAACAAGACTAGATGTCTTTATTATAGAATAAAATGGGTTTGGTTGGAAGGGACCTAAAAGCTCATCCAGTTCCCTGCCACGGGCAGGGACACCTTCCACTAGAGCAGATTGCTCCAAACCCCGTCCAACCTGGCCTTGAACACTGCTAGGGATGGGGACTTGCCTGTGTTGTAGAGTACGCTACACTGACGCTAAGATAAATGTATTCATATTTAGGTAATATATTTAGATATAAAGATAAATGTACCTCAAATTTTCATTTGCAAAGGCCAGCTTTTTCAAGTTGAAACTGTAAAATTTGCATAAGATCAAGGCCGGGCTGCTCCTTTGGAGGATTCACTCAAGAGGTTTCCCTTTTGCTCAGGCTCCAATGTGAGAAGTGATAGGAAACATTTTCTATAAAGGATATATTTATATAAAAGATACATAATAGATATACTAATACGTATTTATTTAAAAGATCTATGAAAGATTTCAACTCCTCCTCATTTTTCTTTCTCTCTACCCTAGCACAGCATGCAGCTTTTGCAGTGGTTCCTGCCACAATGGATAGGATCATTCATTCTCTGCAGATGTGCTGTCAGGAAATCACCCACTTCAGCCAAACTGCAGCTACATCTTTAAAGGGAAGTTTTACACAGCAAGTTTCTGCAGTACTTCCTCTGACACCCATTTCACTTGGTGGCCAAAATACATTTCCAAGCAAATAAATAAAGTAATAGATTACACTTTTTATCATGTAAGACAAACATAATTTGGTCTTCCTTTTATAGTGAATGTGCTTTAGCCTGTGGCCACCATGTTGTACACAAGTTGTATTGCATATTAAACATTAACAAAAAATTGAGCACTGAATTGTTAAGAACCAAAAAAAAAGAAATCTGGAAACTAACCTTTTTACCCCCAGATTTTATTCCACCTCCACTGTATCCTGACCTTCCTACAGCGGATCTTAGGCATTGAGGAGGCTCCTTCCTGTCCTGTCTTGTCTTACAATCACAGAAACCCCTTTTATGGCTTTTCCCCCAATAAATAACAATGTGCTTCCATTAATTTTTTTTATTATTGATGTTTCTGTTTCCAAAGACCAGCCTTAAATTTTTTTAATGACGCAAAAAATGTCAAGAACAAATGCAAGTCTCTTTTTTCAGCACATGTTCTTGGCACACAAAACTACGTGGCTTACAGGGATCAGCTCTGGTCTTCCACATTACCAGGTGCTTCCTCTTCTGTTGGATAAAACTACAAGGAAATAACGTGAAGTCCTCAGACCCTTAGAAAATCTTTGGCCTCCTTTCACAGAGGTCCAAATCCAGGTTGTGAGTTGCTCTGTTGCCAAATGATTTTTTCCCAAAGTCCTTATTATGCTTCACAGCGATGATAACGTGAACCAAGAAGGTTCCACAAAGTGCTTTTTTTGCCTTGCATAGTACATTTGAGGTAGGACAATGTGATCTGGGGGGAAGGGAAAGGTGTAACACACTTGCCTTCTGACTGCATCCTTTCTTTGACACACAGCACTGACCACGACCAAAGCAGCTTTGATTTGACCATGTGCATTCATCTCTTACATCCTCCATAAGGTCTGCCATCCACCTTGTCTGCCCCCCATTTTCCCTCTCTGTTCACTTCTCCTGTGTGTTGGCTAAGAAGGAGGCAGCACATGTGGCTGACTGAGCTACGCATATTTTGACTTGACCTTTCTGTCAGATCTCCTTGAAGTTGGCCAGCAGGTTCAAATTATGAAGGTAGGCTGACAGACTGATGGATGGACAGTGCAATCACAGGGCCCTGCTTTCTTTAGGGGGGGGAAGCTAAAAACATGGGCAATGTTTGGTCCTACCCTATTCTCCAGAGCAGTATTTCAAATCCAAATGTCTGTTGTCACTTGGTTTTTTTTGATGCTTTTACTTAACTTGTCCTGTGCTGCTGGTGACAGTTTCCAAACTGTCCAAATATTTCTTGGGTTTCTTTCCATTTTCTGGTCCTTGCTCTTCTCTAGATTTGTGGTGCTGCTCCAATAAAAAGGTGATCTCATTCCATAAATCATTCCTCGGTATACAGGTTTGAAATGAAAGGCTTCCTTTATTCCTTTTACAAAGTTCCCAGCTGTGTTTTAATGCCTGGTTTTGGTTTTGTTCTATTTCTTGTTGATTATCTTAGATTTCGTCTTACACTTTGTCTGTCTTGAAGCAGACTCTACTGGTTTTACTTCCTAATTTGATAAAGAGCTTATCTGCTGCTTTAATTTATTCTGAATAGAAGTGGCTGTTTAAGCTGAGAGGCTTCAGCGAGGCTTCCTCTCACTTGCTGCACCATAATGAAACCATTAATTAATTAAAATATGAGGTAAGAATGCAGACACACATGCCACCCCTTAATTACTTCTTGGAACTTGAAGTATTGTTTTAATACCAATACCGTCCATTTCCTGAAGGAAAAGCTCAGAGAATGGATTCTTTAGGTTTTTTTTTTGACCAAATATTGAGGGGGGTGATCCCATGTGCTCAATAAGAAGAATTTAAATGTGAGACACACACCCCCATGGATATTCAGGCAGGTACAAGCACATTCCTACAAGAAGCACTTAAATGAAACACAGCTGGAAACTGCTCCTTTGATCAGGATTTTGAGCAGCATTCTGCTAAATAGATCTGAGCAATGCTCGGGTAGGAGCCACATGCAAGGGGTTCACATCTGCTGTTACTGTTGGTGAGCTGTTTACCACCATGCCAAGCAAAATAATTTCCCTCAGCTCAGGGAAACAAGATGAAGTCCAACCTCTCTCTACTGTCTCATAACTCCCATTTCAGACTCGTATCAAACAGGGTTAGGGTGGATGCTCTATACGTGTCCTACAGTTCCTCCACTGAGGAAATTCCTTGCGAGAAATTTTGGAGCTTCTCTGAGTAAGTCTAAGCAAACTGGTATGCATGTATGAAGTTTTCTCAAATCAGGCCCATGTGTCTGACAGTATACATTCAGTTATCATACTGGATTGTTACAATGATGTGGACAAAGTACTAAGAAAAGGGAGAAACTGTTTGATACTTCCACTAGTTACAACCCATCTGAGACTGGGTTTTGTCTGTAAGATGACATAACTTCATTAAGAAATCTATAGCAAAGTAATTCTGCTACATCAAAGCAGACTAGAATTTGGAGATGATAAACTGCGGCCTTCAGATACAGTGACAGAATATTGAATTTAACAGCAGAAGACAAGAAAGGCAGGATTTTCACCACAGTTTAGATGTCCTTTCTAACAATTCTTTAGCCTTTTTTGTAAGGCATCAGGAGAGCTGCTTTGAATAAAGAGATCCTGACCTTACAAGACCGCTTCATCCCTGCTTCACAAAAGGAGACATTCCAGGCAACACAGACAGCTGAACCTGGGAGGTTTCAGTGGTTTTGGGCACCTCTTAAAGGTGCTGAGAAAAGGCAGTAGAAGAGCAGACATCCTTCTCCTATCTCTTTTGACCCAGATGAGAGGACAATTGTAACCAGTGAAGTCAAGACTACTTTAGCACAAAATGTCTGTCAGTGAAGTGGCCATGAAGGGCAGGAGGGAAGAAAGCAAGCACCCAGAAATACAGCCCATTCCGGTTTAGGTTAGGAACTTTGCAACTCATTTCTACAGTCAACAGAAAAAGCTGAATTTCATCAACAAATGTGAACAGGAATTGTTCTCTGAATGACTGCATGTAAAAGGAGAATAGCACATGAAAGGCATTGTAAAGGTTGGAATCAGTCCACATGGATGCCACATTGTTAATCCCCATGAAAGACTGGCTGATCTTTGCAGGTAGCATAAATAAGCCTGCAGTCTTCTCCAAGCATGTTGTTTCCTCTGCCTATGAAGAGGCCCCTTCTTTGACTTGCAGCCAGTAAAATAATGTTTTTTCCAGATAATGAGCCACTTCACATGAGGAAAACACTCTAGCATCCTGGACTTGTCTAAACAGCATTCCGTGTACTCCCACACATGGTCACTTCCAACACTCGTTCCATCACATCTCAGAAAACTCTAACTCAGTGTGATTGCAGCCTTCTTTCAGCCAGCTTTCACAGTTGTAGCTAGATGTAGGCCAAATCATAAGACACAGGACTTTTGAGAAATGAAACTTCAAATATGCATTTGTCAGCTGTTGCCAAAATAATCACTCGTAGTAAATCCCTGTGAGGTTTTGTCTTTATTCCTTAAAGATGGGAAGTGAGTTGTATGTGTAGTGGGTACATACTGGCCTTTGTAGCAGGATAGTCATCTCCCCATCAACCGCTATGGGAAATCAGGAAGCCAGGACTCACAGAACGGTGGTTTTCAGAGTCACAGATCATTTCAATTCCCACCCACACAAAGCATGGTGCAGATTTAAATATGACAATTTAAAAGTACATATTTTGGCAGAACAGGTCAAATTGGTGACTAAATAAGTCCTGGATTAGGTTTTCAGCCCAGGCTTTATCATCTCATTATTTTTATGGGTTTTGACCTGCACGGTTGCTTTCTGCAGCTCTCCATGTGTAATGATTTAGTCCAAACCAAAGCTGGTTTATTGCACTGAAGGTATGATACAATTTCAGTAGGACAGTCTTCACAATATCCTCTTCGGATTCTGTGAGACTGACCCAATTGCAACAAAGAGAGTTCAGGATACTTAAGTTCACTGTGAAGCTTTAAGAATAACTGTCAGAATCATTCTGTCTTTGGGGAAGGTTGGATCTTCAGGATGTAAAATGAGAAGAAAAAAAATCCCTTATCATCTCTCAGACTAGCTCACAAGTTCTGTCAGCAAACTCATGTTTTGGAGAGGTTGCAGTTGGTACAAAAATCGATGCAGGTTTATTTTAGGACAGTATTTGCACTTTCAAACTACATCTCTTTTAATATGTGAATTAAAGTTCATTATTGTTACCCTTCTTCTGTATATTGTACCTTTTGCCTTTCCAAAAGCTGCACTTACACCAAAGTAAGGCAGCCATTCTGTGACTAATGCATCACTGATTACCAAGGCAACTTGGTTTGCTGTCAAATGTAATTTGGGGCCTCTCAAGTGATGGATTTACATCACTTCTAGGTGCCACTGGTCTGCTACACCTGTTTTGATACTAACACAAGAGTGTTGTAAGTAGATCTATAGACATCCCCTTGCATAGCATCCCTTTGACTCTGTAAACTTCACAAAGGGCCACACACAGTACACTGTATCTACTAACAGTTAGGACATTCCTTGAAGTGATCAGTCTGGTCTTCTGGATTGAGAAGGTGATGATCCATCCATGAGGCAGATGGGCTTCCACAGAGCATAAGGGTTGTGGGGTATATTATAACAAATTAAAACTAAAACCCTGCTACGAAACAGGTCATTGTGCAAAGTCAAGCACTTGGACACCAAAATACGGAATAATGAAGATAGCTTCCCCCCATGGCGTTTTCATGTCAGACTAAAGGTTAAAGAAAAGCGTCCAGTTACATAACCGAAACAAATGCCAGAGCCGATTTCAGTTGCACCATGCTTGATTTTCTTTCTGACATAGTTTTGGTTCCTAGGAACTTGTATTTATTTTCCTCATACAAAGATCTAAAATTTACCAAATGAGAAACATGCAAGAAAAATAGAAGTATAACTTGTGGTTGTTTTGGGAATTACTGACCTTCTTTCCCACCTCTGGCTGTAAGGATGCACTTCGGAACAGCTCTTGCTCGACACCAGAGGCATCATTCATCACCCCGCATCTTCTTGGGCTCTCTTCCTGCTGTTGCTGCTCAGTCATTACTTTTGCAGAGCTCTGTAAGTAAAAGGACTGACGGTTCAGGCTGTCCTGTCCCGAAACCCTCCTAAAGCCCAAGGCATCCATTCTTGAGGCAGCTCACGAACCCACTCCCCTCGCTGAGTGCCCAGGCATTAACCTGAGGGGAAAAGCAGATAGGGGAACAAGGAAAGCAGCTTATGCCTAGGGGCTTTTGCACTCCAGAGCAATGCTTTAACTCTTAATCACCTGTAGAAGTCAAAGCCATCCAAAACCAGCCACTTTGCTATTTTAGTCCTTTTGGTAACCACTTCTGTTCAGACTTACATTTTCCATGGACAAACTGCCAAGCCATTTGAGGAGTGGTTCAGCCACACACGTTGCTGACTGCAAGAGGCTGTTACAATGTCCGTCCTTGACTCACGCTGTCGAAGTCAATGCAAACCCCATCTGCCTCAGTTGTCCTTTCCCTCCTTCCTTGCCCAGAAACTCAGAGGAAGGCCTAAGTGCACTGGGCAGGGTTTCAGTGCAAAGCCAAGGGATTTGTGCGGTGCCGAGGAGCGCAAGGGACTCAGTCCAAGAGCATTTGCCCATGAAAACGTGGCAACCAGCCTTTGGATCGGGTGTCTCCAAGAATGGGACGGAGTGAGGTTTGCCAGCGCGCTCACTGGAGGCTAGAAGTGATGTTGTTTGAAACTTGCATAGTCTGGCATGGCTGAAACACAGAGCTGGAACAGTGCTGAGTAGGGATTACTCATATGCTAGCGATGAGGAGGATATAAAGTAATAATGACCTTAGGTGACATTAATCTAGATTGGATCCAGAACCCTGACAAAAATCCTCCCATTTGTAACACCGTATGTAAAGAACAGAATAAACACACAAGACATAGATCTTCCTGTCACCTTGTCTTGCTTTACAGGAATACAGCAACCTAGTCCTGTGTGTGAAAAGGTACATTTTAACATTAGGAAGGTTGCAATACTGAAGTATTCTATGAAACAATGAAAATTACTGTGCTATCTGAACTACTTCTTGCTCTTACCATAGCTACAAAGCTGAGGTTGAAGCATTTAGCTCATGATTTAAGACAAGTGCAAAGCAACCTAATTACTGTAGTAGTTTTAAATAGTTATCAGACATAAGCTTTTTATTTAAAACCACCCACAGTATTTTGGTTGGTTGTTTTGTTCGCCATAAAAGTATGTGACAGCACAAATTACTGTTATTTTTGGACACTACCGAAATATGAAAAGAACAAAAAGCCAACTTTTGCTATTAATTGGAAATAATACATTTAATTTTAAGAAGGAAGGAATAATAGAAAACATACGTGGCTCTTCATCTCTGCCTGTCTGATCTTTCCTGGGTTTTAAATAAATCAAACCCTCTTGTGATTTCCACTTGTAATGTTAGATCTTTAAATGTCTGGCTTGCACTCTGGCTTTGATGGCTGCCAACTTGGAGCCAAACTACTTTCTACCAGACCTCCATATAAGTTGGTAGAAAAATTAGTTCTGTCTCACTTTTAACAGGCCTAGTTTGTAATGTGTTATTTTACTTCATTGCCGTCACTTCTGCTGGTTCCATGACATTTAGTGAAAGGGAAAAATAACATTTTAAAAGTTCAGAGGTTAGAACTTCTAGATCCTATTTTCATGTTTAAAAGGACGAGCTGTCAAAAACATCCTTTGTTTTGTTTATACCAAGGGCAATGAAACGTGTGGAATTCTAAATGAGGCACGACCCCTTCTTACCAGATTGCCAAGATACGATTCTGCTGAAAACAGTGAAAGAAATCACTTCAGATTTGGCTAGCATTGCTCTGGAATCATGGCGATTAGATGACGGGATTTGAGCTGTTAGCAATTAGTAATTAATAACTTGATTTTTATAAAGAAAAAAAAATCCATTTTAAATACTTTAAAAATAGGGTTTACACCTAATAGTTTTATAAACAGACCAAGTATTTTCCATTGAAGATGCATGCTGGGACAGATCCTGCAGTTCTTCCCAACCAAGATGTCACCCTGGGATTTAGCAGCTTGAGCACAACAAAAGAATGTCTGATTAGGTAAAATGATCACACATTAAGCATTTACATGTTTACCCAATACATGTTATCACACAGCAAAAGAACTGTTTTCAACCAATAGTTAAAGTCACTGTCAAGTCTGCCTTCATATTTTTGTGCTTTTTGTCTTGCTGTGACTTCCAAACACAGGCAAAGCTTCCTAACAGGAAGAGAGAAGGAGCCAGCACATGTACACGTGAAGAAAAGACTTAGACCATCTAATTTCAGTAAGAAATCATCCCTGTTTGTGACTAATTGTAAAACCATTTTTGTAAATCAGTCCTCCAGCAAAGTTACTGTAAAGGACAGAGGAAGGGGCACAGAAGTGCTGTTGGAGAGTTTTGTTCCTGTGGGTCATTCAGCATATCTGAGCATTCCAGAGGAGCTGTGATTCACCAATGCCATGCATTGTTGTCCAGTATAGAAGTAAGGAGCAGAAAAGCACTGATTCAAATGAGATTACTCAAGTCAAACACAGCAGGTTGTGCCTATTGCTAGTGCACAAACAAGGAGCACGCCTTTGTAAAAGAGCACACATCAAATGAATCAAAACACAAGTGTTTGGTAGGACCTGGCAGGGTTGGAGGATCCAAGAGACCATGCAGTTTGTTGCCTTTATCTCCCACCAAGTTTGCTTTTGGATATAAATTATTAAATGAAGTTATGGGAGGAGACTGGACTGGGGAGCTGGTATTAAAAAAGAATTTGTAAGGACCCTGACACAGAATGAAACTGTGTGGTTCCTACAGCTATAAAAGGGTATTTTAACAAAGTACCTACAACAATTAGTCCTAGCAATGCTGTATTTCTGAAAACAAACCAAAACCAGACAGTTAAAAACAATCATGAGCTTACCCCACTTCCCCATTGGCGAGGTGTAATTAAGTGCACCATTAGTACCTCCTGTTACTGGCCACTGTCAGAGACCAGGCACCATTCGAATTGGATCCCTTCACTTAAGTATCTCTGCTGACCTTGTGCTTTCATTCTCACTTGTCCAATTTTCCACAGACTTTACACCTAAACATAAATACTTGCCCTTCCATCACCACTAAGGTTAGAGTATCTCTAAACCTCATTCTATCCAAGCTACTGTCCCTAGTGCATTTCATATGCCTAGAATATATAGGCCACCTGATCAATCACACTGGGAAAGGATCTGTACTAATATGTGGTATGTCTAAATTTTGTATGACACCTAAGATTTTCTTAGGTAGCAACAAATCATTCTCCTGTGTGATGCAGGACACTTCCATTGGTGAAATAGTCTGTTTCCCAAAGCATCTTTCTTTATGTCTCACTGAGTATCACTGCGCTGCTCTCCACTGTACATCCATGTTCAAAAGCTTCCTGCTACTTACAAGCTTTCCTTGTTCTCCATCACAGTTGGTCAGTTCAAGCTACAAACCATGGTTTTGCTGGGTCCTGCCATATTGCTAAGAAGCTGGATCAAATATATACGCAAGACTCTAGTATCTCCTCGACTTCTTCCATTATCTACATGAAAATCAACTTGAAGATGTTCAAGTATCTATGAAGAGCCATTACATTTAAAATGTTTGAGGTCAGCAAATATTCCTCAGGGACATCATTGCAAAGCAGTCTTGCAAAAACCATCTCCTCCTGTGTTGCTAGGCTGTGTCCCTGGATTACTGTGTCCATTGGCTATTAGGTGTACAGACTCTCATGCTAAATCTGACTATGCAATCCCTTTTACTTATTTACGTCATATAAACACTAATTTTGATTATCTATAGTTTCTAGTTTAACAGACTCCTTAGATTAAATTAACAGAATGTCTTAGAAATTAACAGACCTCTTTAAAATTACAAATTACCTTTCAGCTCCTTGTTTCTAAACTTTTTGTTTGGATAAATGCTGTATTTATATTAGAGCTGATACAGCAAACAGTTCAAGAAAACCCCAAGCCAAACCTGAAGGCAAATCAGTCTCCTCACTACAAGGAAGAAAGATCATTTTCTACCTACTGCATTTTCCCCACACCATCAATACCTTCACCAGTACCAACAGGTACCTGATATTCACCAGATCCTGACACCAGTAGTAATATGGCCAAACAACGGGGCTTTTCAAATTGTATCATCTACACCTGCCTTTAACTTCCTTATTTAATACTTGCAACCCTGGAAGACTTTGTATAAGTGTAATTGTATTAATGGGAATGCAATATCAGTGGCAAAACAGTTAACTTTGACTTAATTTCATTTAGGCACAGAAGGAGAAAACACAACTAACCACAACCAAGTGTCCACAATTCCTCTGGGGCAATTTAAACCATTTATTTCCAATATATAGTCATGAAATACTTCTAATTGGCAGTATTTCCATTACTTAGTTCTATTATCCAGGAAGTCTTCAAGTATTTAAAAAAGAAATTAATGAAGCACATATGTTATCTTTTAAAAACATATAAAAACTGTATACAAAATTTCTTTAATTTGTACTTATATTACTCCCTTCTTTATCAACAGAGATATGCTTTACACACTTCTGTGGAATTAAAATCATTCACAGCACTTAGTCTCAGCAATAAACCTCTGCAGAAGTGTTTTTCTTATTAAGTACAACCATAATTCTGACTACTTTTTGTAGCCACCTGCAGCATTTCTATTTTCTTTAGAGACAGCATGATGCAAACCAAACCACCCCAGAACCATCAATTCCTTACTTACATGTTGTCAGTGTGTAGGTTTTTATTAATAGTACAAACCAGTGTCTGTGATGGCAAAAGTAAAGCGTGCTTATTCCTCCAGTTACTTCAAAACTCACCATTGTAATTATATGGGTTCGGGGGAAATGTTAGGTGGGCAGGAATGAGAGCAGGCTGCACTAACAGCGAGAAGAACCTAGACTGAAGTCAAGTCTGAGTAAAACCAAGGTTCAGTTATTTCAATTTCTGCTTTTTCCTTGCCTGAAACTCTTGGGTTTTATTTTTGACAGACTTTATTAGCATTGATAGGGCAGGATCTATGGCTGTCTTGGCAACCTCTCCTTTCTTTGCCATCTTGTTCTCCTGCTCCTTGCTTGCCTCCTTAACATCTTGCTCCTTTTCTTCTCTTCGTCGAGCTTTCTCTTCCAAGATCTTTTCTACTGCTTTTGTCTTCTTGAAATTTGGATCTGAAGGATCCAGGTTAAACAGGGGAGAAGTAAACATGGCTTGGAATCTTGTATCGGTAACATTTACCTGAAGGCAGGAGAGGAGTATTTATTTTAGGTAACCTTTACCCACATTAGCAAAGCTTTCAAACATGATAAAATACAAGCTGCATAAGCAGTCATAGCTCACGAGACTGTTCACCATTCCTGGAACAGCTCCAGTTACAAAATCCCAGCAAGTGTGAAGCAGAGAGCCAGAAGGTGCTATTGGTAAAACAGGCAAGTGAATGCTTGTGCAAATCCTGTATATGCTGCTGTCAGCAGACCAAGGAGAGGTTTGCTGTTGAGAACTGACCAGAAATGGATTTGGAACAACCAGCTGCCACACCAATGAAGAGGATAACTACTAGTGCATCCAGGAAAGAGCAGCAGGTGATAACAGTAGGTGACTCTACTTTGACAGGCACAGAGGCACCCATCTGTCAGCCTGACCCTATCTCAAGGGAGGTGTGTTGCCTATGAGGGGCTCAGATCAGAGATGTTTCTGAGATGCTGCCTGGTCTTGTAAGTCCTACTGACTCCTATGCACTCCTAGTGGTCCATATGGGTGCCAGTGACACTGACAGCAGTAGGAGGATGAAAGCAGCAGTGGATAACAATAAGAAGAGGCAAACACATATTTTAGGCACCAAATTGTACAAGGTGCAATTATAGTTTGTTAATATACTTGCATAAATAGTGTCTTGTTGTTTTATACAGAGTTTGGCTCTGTTCCCTTCAACGTTGTATCAGAGTATTTCTTGCTTTTTGAAAACAGTCTGTAACTCTTTAAAGATGTAGACCTAGCTCTCCTCCTTCAGACAGAGTAAGGGAGGAGAGGGATATGAAACCACCAAATTTGTCCTGAAAATAATCAACAAAGGTTCTATCTGAGCCTCAAAATCAAAGAGTACACCCTTACCTGGAAGTCATCTTCTATCAATTCTTTCCTTTTCATTAAAAGTTTCTTTTTCTTCTTGCTCAAATTCTGTTGTTCTACAATCTTTTTATAATTAAAATGTTTTCTGGCATCATCCTCATCGTCCATCATAAGCAGGGCCATTTCAGCCTGGTGCAAAATAAAGTACATAGTGAAATTAAGTTTCCTATGAAAAACACAGCATCTTGTTAGTAAAGTCTGTATAAATCTCCATACACATAAATGAGTTGCAGTAGGGTTGTCAGGGCAGTATTTTTAATCCATAACAATATTCTTCTAACATTGAAGTGTAATAGAATCATCATAGAATAGTTAGGGTTGGAAAGGACCTTAAGATCACCCAGTTCCAACCACCCTGCCGTGGGCAGGGACACCTCACACTAAACCATCTCACCCAAGGCTCTGTCCAGCCTGGCCTTGAGCACCACCAGGGATGAAGCATTCACAACTTCCCTGGGCACCCCATTCCAGTGCCTCACCACCCTAACAGGAAAGAACTTCTTCCTTATATCCAATCTAAATTTCCCTGTTTAAGTTTTAACCCATTACTCCCTGTCCTATCACTACAGTCCCTGCTGAAGAGTCCCTCCCCAGGATCCCTATAGGCCCCCTTCAGATACTGGAAGGCTGCTATGAGGTCTCCACGCAGCCTTCTCTTCTCCAGACTGAACAGCCCCAACTTTCTCAGCCTGTCTTCATACAGGAGGTGCTCCAGTCCCCTGATCATCCTCGTGGCCTCCTCTGGACATGTTCCAACAGTTCCATGTCCTTTTTATGTTGAGGACACCAGAACTGCACACAATGCTCCAGGTGAGGTCTCAGGAGAGCAGAGTAGAGGGGCAGGATCACCTCCTTCGACCTGCTGGTCACGCTCCTTTTGATGCAGCCCAGGATACGGTTGGCTTTCTGGGCTGCAAGTGCACACTGAAGCCGGCTCATGTAATGTTAAATGGAACTGTTGATTTCCCTTGTATGAGATACAAACTAAATGCAAATACCCACATTCAACTTTCAAACCTATCATTAATCTAATCTGAAAACTGTACAGCATAATCAGGAATGGACACAATTCTATACTGATATTTAGATAGCAAAATAAAAATCAACATACATGAATTTAATATATTTATTTAGTGAAGTTGTTCTCAGAAAGAATGAGAAGCAACCATGCACTAGCAAACAATTCAATCTTCAAGGTCAAAAGTCTAGAGGACAAGGTTTGAACACTGAAATGTTTCATACAGTGCTGATGTTAAAAGTCATCAGCAGAGGGACTATGAGCTCAACCAGTATGGCTTCTGTGCCCTTACATTTCAGTATTACCTAACTCCTGAGTTGTGTTCAACTATAATCTTCCAGAAAGATACGCTGGCATCATCTTAAGACATCAAGGCATGGACCAGCTTCCATTCTTCTTGGGTAGCTTTTGTCCCCAAAACTCTTGCTATTAAAATTATACAGTTTTATTCCACTGTCCCATGGAATTCAGTAGTTCCAATCACAAGCACATAACACATATCTGCAGAACTCAGGCAATGCAACATCTGTAATTCTCAACATTTTAATCCACTTTACCTTCTGTTTTTCAACTTCATCCTCATCCTCTGAGGTACTTGCAACCGATTCTGGCTTCTTCTTTAAACCTACGTGCAAACATAGGACATGCACGCATTTACTCAAGCTGATGCATGACAGCATAATTTACCCATGAGCAGAACCTGATGTGCAACTTGTTTTCTTATAATCAACACCTGAATGTCAGATGTGGAAAAAAACTGAAAAGTTAAGAAAAAACAGCTAAAGCAATAAAAATCTGCTAGTATTTGTTCAATTTAAGGAGGCAGCAATATCCAAATGTCATAAATAAGTCAGGAAAAAACAGAGAAAATGTGTTTACTGTGTTTTTCAGAGAGCAGAAGAGAGAAGCATCACAACAGGGCAGGCAAACATATGACATTACGCCACTCCCAGGGCCTTTTAAAAGAGAATCAGTTTATATACTCATAAATGTAATTGAAGTGTCCTGCAGTTCTCAAGCCGTTCACTCCTTCTCCTGGAGTAGGCAATGTAGTAAATACTTCAGAATAAATAACAAAGTGCATCTCTTCTCTGTATCCAGAGCAGAATTCTGCCAGCTGAATAAGAGTTCATCAGTGCATAAAGGAGAAACAGTTTTGATACTGTCTAGG